GCTTCGACGACGCGGTTGACTGGTTTGGGTTCCAACAAGTCGTGTGCTTCATGCCTGGAAGCTTGCCTGGACACCTTCTATGATGTCCTAGCCATTACGGCACTCAGGCGTAGGACATCGCACAACCAAACACGCCAAGTATGCATTGTCTCATCACGACTCCGTCAACGGCCCTTGAAGCATGTCCATGAGCTTCCCGCAAAAAACGATGAACGATGACTGAGCAATCGCAAATTCAACACCTTATAATTTTCTGCAGCGTCTCGCGACTCCACCGGAAGCGTTTCCGGCATGCCACGTGGGAGGAGCTCACGGAGTTCCGGGTCGTGTGAACTGTCTGCTTTGAGTCTTTCGCAAGGAGCCGCAGCCGCGGCCGCGGGGCCGGAGGTCGGAGCCGGGGTCGAGGCTCCAAAGGATCCGAAGGAGGCACGCTGAGCTTCAGGCGGATGCTTCCCGCGGCCTGCTTTTTGCGGCCTAAATCTGTCGGCTCAGTCGCAGGGTCGCCCAAAATCCAAAAGCGCAAGAAAACCGTGGAGCAGACCTACCAAAAGAAGACGCAGGCGCGGGTCCGAGCTCTGCAGGGCTCGCGTTCTGCAGCTGCGAGCTGCTTTAATGGGATTCGTTGGAAGGTGGAGCACATACTTCTTCGTGCGGATGCTCAGTTCCGGAGCTTCGTTCTAGTGAAATTAGCTTCGGCTATTGAGGTCCAGACACCTACGTTGGTTCCATAGAACACCAGGTCGGGACTTCTCCAAGCTGTAGTCCATACTCCCTGGTGCAATGGGCAAGGATGAATCTGCTTGGATCTGGAATGACAAGAAGGCCTACCTCCTTCCTCAACCAGAGGTAAGTTGCGCTTCTGTGTGAGCAGGGCGAAATGGAGTACAAAGACATCAGTTATGTTCCGGCGTTGTACAAAATCTTCGATGAGATCCTGGTCAATGCTGCTGACAACCTGCAAAGAGATTCGAAAATGAAGGCAGGTGCTTGAAACTGCGCGTGATCACTTGTCAGCCAAGTGAGATAAGTGAGATGCTTGAGCATGTGTGTCGAGGCCATCAAGGTCGACATTGACCGTTCCAAAGGAGATTGAATACCAGGATCAGTTTTTCGAGTGATCGTATGCAGCTTTGTCAGCTGCAGGAAGGATCAAGGTGTGGAATGATGGAAAAGGAATTCCCATCCAGCTGCCCTTGCCTTGATTTTTTCAATTCACTGCACCCATTGTGCCTTCTAGATCCGAGGCACAAGAAGTACAAGGTCTTTGTGCCGGAGCTGGTGTTCGGTCACCTACTAACCAGCGACAACTACGACGACTCTGAGCGCCGCTCCGCTGGGAGTGGATCAGATCCTTGAGTTTTTCAGTGCAGCTAGCTGTTTCATTCTGTTGGGTCGGCGAACTTCCCACACCCCTCTGGAAAAAAACCCTTTGGCCCACCCGCTCCCCTCAAAGCACAATTTCAATGTCTTGCTTTGCAAGGTGAAATGATTTCGCCACGAAGCCTTCTAGAACTGTTGTTACGGGGGCTACCCGACATGCATCAACAGCAAACGAAATTGTGTGGCGTACTGCCATCAAGGGTCGTTATTCTGTGTCGCTGGTCATTAGAGCTTCCCTGCCGCACTTGCTTCGCCCCAACCTTGGTGGCCCACTTCTCGATGGTTTGGTGAGCCCCAGGAAAGGTTACTGGAGGTCGCAACGGATATGGTGCAAAGCTCACCAATGTCTTCAGCAGGAGCCTGCTTTGCAAGTACTTGGGGCCTTCGGGGATACAGAAGTTGGAAGCCTGTGCAAGCCTTGGCTGCTGCCAGGAAATTTGTAATCGAGACTGCAGGTGCCCGGTCCGTGTGCTGAACAAAGCCTCTATCTAGAAGCTCGCAGCAGCGGTGCCAGCGCTCTTGCATGCTTCTGGGAGATCGGCAGGTGGTGGGAAAAAGTACAAGCAAGAGTGGACTGGCAACATGAGCCACTGGGTCCAGAGAGGTATGTTTGGCATGCACAGCGCTCCTTGGCGCAACCGCCGGGTCAGCTGAGGCAAGAAGGGAAAGCCGCAGGTCACCAAGGGATCTTCTGCAGCATCCTACACATCCGTGGAGTTCTGGCCAGCTTCTTGGTAGCGTTTGTTAAGAAAGAGGAGGCATTCTCTTGACATTCCGTTGCAGGACCTGAGCAAGTTCGGGATGAAGGAGCTTGAGGCTGCAGACCTTTCGGGCGATCTGGTCCAGCTCGCTGACGTTCGCTTCAGGCCGACACAGTCGCCCTGATGATGCGACGAGTGTATGACATCGGAGGCAGCGCTTCCCAGCCGGAACTTGACAATTAGCAATCTCTGAACGATGGACCAGAGCTGCAGATACCAGCCGGTATATCCTGCGAGGTACCAGCGGAGATCGGTGTTCTGTTTATTTGAATGGACGCACCTTGCTTGCAACTTCTCAGGGCTCAACGAATTTGACCCGCTTGCATAATGCGTTTACCCACCATCGTTGCACGACACTGCTGAAGACGACGTTTTCTCCAGCAGCTTGCAAAACACACGGAGTGAGTTTCGCGGATGCAGACCAGGGAAGCTGCAAGTCAAGAACTTTGTGGATTACTGCCAGCAGTTCCATGGCGATGAGGGTTATGCCTACGCTCAGCTCAACAAGCGATGGCAGGTCGGACTGTGCTTTGTTCAACACTTGTCGTGTATGTAGATGCGAACCTGGTCTTTGGGTTGAGGTGCTGGTTGCTCGCTCTGACGGCGATGGTTTTCAGCAGAACTCGTTTGTCAATGCCATCAGCACTCCGAAAGGGGGAACGCCTGCCCCTCACAAGTGTTGAAGCGTCTTCGCAGATGTGCCCACGGAAGATGGAAGTTTGAAAGAAACGGACAAACATCTGATGCGAAGCAGCTTCATGGTCATGCCAAAGGCATGTGAACTACATCCTTGACCAGCTGGTTGAAGCAATTTCGAACAAGGCTCAGCCGTCTGACTCCAGCGGTGTGCTCCGAACGTAAAGCTGGATGTCAGGCCTCCAAACAGGCCGGCAAAGGGGTCGAGATCAAGCGAGTGCATCTTGGCCAGAAGCGTGCTGATCACCCATTTTGTCGCAGTGAAACCTCCTGCTATCAACAAGGCATGTGAAGAGCCACCTTTGGCTGTTCATCAACTGTTAGGATCTTGGCAGCCTGCAGCTTCTCGAGATTCTGCTTGGAATCTTCGCTTCAATTTCTGAGGCTTGATCGAGAACCCTGCCTTCAGTTCGCAAACCAAGGAGCAGATGACGCTCAAGGCCACGAGCCTGCAGACGGATGTTGTTCCGTCGTGCAAGCCAGTGCAACCTCTCTGAAGTCAGGCTTCCCAGTTTGGGAGTCACTGCAGCTTGCCCCGTGCGTTCATCGAGGAGGCAGCCGCACCAAAACCTCCGGAAGCAAACCCTTTCCTGGCATCGCAAATACCTTGAAGTGAGCCTTGCAGCTTGCTTGGGTTGAGGTATTGACGAACACCGGCATCGTCGATGCCGTCATCTCGGAGGCCTGTCGGATCTGAGTAGCTGAGTAGCTGTCCAAGCAGCGCATGTAGCAGCTCAACAACCTGATGAGGCACAATCCAAGATGACACTCCAAATGGACAAGAGTAACTCCAAAGCGAGCCACGGAAAGCGCGTGCCAGAGACTTAGCCACTTGTGGCACAGTTGGACGGAAGATCTTTGGGCATGTCATGAAGGCTCGGGGTACCCAAGCTGGAAGACGCGAACGAAGCAGGCCCTTGTTTTTTTGATTCGGGCAGCCCGCTTGCTGAATTCGGGCACATGCCCAAGGTGGCAAGCTCTCCAAGGTGGGCACTTCTCAAGCTGCTTGCGATTTCTTTGCCAACCTCAACGCTCAGTGGATTTGGCGCAGGAGTGCACGCTGATCTTGACAGAAGGGGACAGTGCCAAAGCTCTTGCGGTGGCGGGTTTATCAGTCCTTGGACGCGACAAGTATGGCGTCGCTGGCTCAGTTCAACTGCTTGCTGCCAGTGTCGTATTGTGTCCTTTACGCCAAGGTTTTCCCGTTGCGTGGCAAGCTGCTGAACGTGCGGGAGATAAACCAAAAAGCTCTGGCTGAAAACAAAGAGGCACGCATGCACAGCACCTTCAGCTTGCCAGCCTTTCACCGCCACAAGTGACAGGCCATGAACATTGTCAAAATCCTTGGGCTTTCCTTCGACAAGAAGAAGGTCACTGACCTACGCTACGGGAAGGTGCTGCGGACATGCACATTCATTGGAGTGAGATGAAGCGCTGCCGTTCGTGCAGGTGATGATCATGGCAGACCAGGACTACGACGGTTCTCACATCAAGGGCCTCCTGATCAACTTCTTTCACTACTTCTGGCCGGACCTGTCTCTCGACCTTCCCGGCCTTGAGCGTAGTGGCATAGCGTGCACGTGTTGTGGTAGCCGAGGCTCAGAAGCAACAAGGGCTTCCTGCAGCAGTTCGTCACTCCAATCGTCAAGGCAACCAAGGATGGGAAGGTGGAGCAGTTCTTTACCATGGTGGAGTACGAGAAGTGGAAAGCGAAGACCAAAGATGCTGCCGGCTGGAAGATCAAATACTACAAAGGCTTGGGAACCAGCACAGCTGCTGAAGCCAAAGAATATTTCGGAAACATTCACGACCATCGCATGGACTTCAAGCGGCTTCCTCAGTTTCGTTGGTGTATCATTTTTTTTGTGTGTCCGTGTGTACGTCCTACCTTGAAGTAGCATGTGCTGGACCCGAAGCTTCCAAAGGTGGAAGGGACCAAGCGAGAACAAGTTGATCGACATGGCGTTCAACAAGGGACGCTCAGATGATCGGAAGTCCTGGATGAACAAGTACCAGGCAGGGGCACCCAAGCTGCAGGCATTGCAATTGCAAGAGATTTGCATCATTGGCATGCAGCTACATACTCCTGCCCCACTGCAGGAGGGAACATTTCTGGATCATTCGAAGACTGCTGTATCCTACGAAGATTTTGCTTCCCGCTTG